GAGAACCCACTGGGCACTCGAATAATAAACATTCTCCTTATTTTAATAATGGCCGGTAGTACAGTATCAAAGGCATAAGTAAACACAAGGACGATGACCCACTTATCTTCAGTTGCACGCAAAAAACTAATTTATCAAGCTCTGATTAAACAGAATAAAACGTTAGAAAAGGCTACATGGCAAAATGGCTCTTAATGCTTCTAAATAACAATTAATATTTAAGCCATGAGCACAATTACGACCTTAACTCATTAGAAGTATTGGCTTAACTTTCCAAAAGTGAGTGCAATACTGGATAGGCGATACTCGAATAGTTTTAGAGTCAAAATAAAGGGAACTGCATCGATTCCGGCGTCTAGTGATCGTAGAACTAATAAACGCACAATAAAAATGTGGTTTTTAAACTCCAAAATACATCCCATTCAACACATTCTGCAGCCTTTTTGCCTAAGATTTAAACTTATTGCAAATTAGCATCTTACATGTACAAAGAAAAGTTTAGGCAGTAGGTTAAAAAAACAGTTAACTGCACCCTTTGAGCATCGGGAGCAAATTTGCCGTCTACAATGAATACGTTGGGTTTTCGTTCCGCCCATTTCTATGAAGTGCCATTTTTGAGCAATGCACAATGCGACTACAAAATTAGCCTGCAGACGGGCTTTTTACCTCCTTCCATGGAAAACGGGACAAAGAAGAAACAGATATGATTGGATTGAGCAAACTAGACGGAAATCGGAACGAAAGACCACCCTTCACCGTTTTCAAATCAAGATGTGCCTTTCAAGAGATTAATGTGCTGGCCCACACAGGTGCGTCGTAAAAGAACTGGTTCTTGGTAGGGAGCGCTTACGCTGGCCCGCTTATTTACCAAGTAGTTCGCTGAAATATAGACTACCTGACAGAAGTACGCTCGATAATTTTCTTAAAGCTTTTATTAAAGAGAAATAATTGGTTTACTTTACAAAATAGATCAGTGATCTACCACTCTACAAGCCTTTACTGAAATTTTGTGACTGCTATAATATACATGGGCATTTTCACCATCCCCTGAAGAAGACGAAGAAGGGACTACAGTAGTCGCCGGTTATTAAGTCCACGGTTAATAGGCCCAATTTGGTCTGGACCCGAGGTGGGGTTAATAACCGGCGACTACTATATTAAGCCCACGGTTAATAAGCCCAGCCGCTTATTAAGCCCAATTTGGTCTGGGCCCTAGGTGGGCTTAATAACCGGCGACTACTGTATTTGAAAAAACAAAAGTGTATGTATACATGATAAAATGGAACCGAGAAAGAAAATAGACACCGGAATCACCATTTCTGGCTTATCATCGGTCATCAGCCAGTTATACACAACCGAAGATAGGAATCACCCTAAACAGCTGTTTGCTAGCGGTGCGTGAGAAATCCTCAAGGCACAACGGGAAAATGCCTTCCTTAACCGATCAGTGAGCGTCCATCTAGCATTTTATATACTCTCGATCGAAAGCTGCGTGGCAACGAGTCCGTGGCGCAGGGGTTAGAGCGGTGGACTTCTAAGTTACAGGGCCGCGGATTCGAGTCTCGGGGTTCGCCTACCCTGGGGTTAAATATGGCTGACTGCTGACGGCTAATAAATCGGTACTGATTTTCCGCCTATCATATAGCATGGTCTTTAGTTCATGGAAAGGGTTGAAATCTGCGGAAGATTGCTGATTACTCGCAAACGGACATTAAGTGGTGTTTTAATAGCGATTACTGTGCAGCCTAATCTCAAGTCTTTTCAGTCACGCCAGCATGCCGGTTTTTAACGAGCTATTTTCTGCCCACTTACAAAAAGTAAATCCTGTAAAAAAAGGCTACGTAAGTAGTACGCATTTAGCTTATTTATTTTCACTGTCCATATAAGTTCAAATATAGTTTAAAGAAAACATTCAAAAATTATTCTCTCTTATACACGTTTGGTAGCAGATTACGCCTTCTTTATAATTTATTTTTAAAGGAAGGGTATATGCCAGTTTTGAAGCCATTTCTAATCATGAGATTGTGACATTTTTATTCAGAATTCGTAGTATCCATCAATTTATTAATGTTTCCCATAATGCATACAGAATACTCAAGCAAAAGTTTATGAGAACTATGTGACCATTTTTTCATAGCATAGATTAATGCATGATTTTTCCTGGAAAATAAATAAGGCGTGCCCTTTGGAAAACTTGAACTCAAGTGCAACGGTCGACAGGTCCCAAAATTATTCAAAAAGCTAAAAACCTTTATAAAGCCGAAGTGTATCCTCCCTTTAAGCATAAAAATTGACATAATGTTCTACCAAACGAGTAAAAGAAGGAGTAATTTTGTAAACTGTTTTCTATAAACTATATTTCAATTTATGAGGGCAGTGAAAATCAATGAGTTAAATGCATAC